AGGAAAGGAAATATCAGAGTTATAGGTATCCCAGAAGGCGAAGAGAAAGGCCAAGGAATAGAGAAAATATTCACAGAGATAATAGAAGAGAACTTTCCTAATATAAAGAAGATGAATGTAGACATCCAAGAAACAAGAACACCAAACTACCATGACAACAGGAGAAATACAACAAGACCCACATCATAGTAAAACTACCAAGAATACAAGACAAGGAAAGATAATGAGAATGACAAGAGGGAAGAAACAAGTAACCTACAAAGGGAAACTGATCAGGCTGACATCAGACTTCTCCAAAGAAACACTACGGGCAAGAAGAGAGTGGAGGGACATTCTCAACAAACTCCAAAGCATCAAATGCCAACCAAGAATACTCTACCCTGCGAAGCTCTCCTTCCTCTACAAAGCAAGAATAAGGACATTTTCAGACAAACAGAAACTCCACAATTTTGTCATGACTAAACCCCCACTCCAAAAAAATACTACAAGAAGCCTTCAAACCAAATCCAACAGAATAATGAACAAGAACAGTTCAAAACAAGGAATAAAAATACAAAAGTACCAGAAAAATGGCAAATATAAGTGCCAGTATATCAATATTATCTCTAAATGTAAATGGCTTAAACTCATCAATAAAAAGACACAGAGTTGCAGGATGGATTAAAAAACAGAAGCCATCATTCTGCTGTCTGCAGGAAACACATCTAACTACAAAAGATAAAACCAGATTGAAAATAAAAGGATGGAAAACAATCCTACAAGCAAATGGACCAAAAAAAGACAGGAACAGCTATACTTATATCATACAAAACAGACTTTAAACTAAAAAGGTTAAAAGAGATACAGAAGGCCACTACATTATGATTAAGGGGACAATACAACAAGAAGACATAACAGGAAACTACTGTCATCTATGAAAATGTTTATCAGAGAAAATACATACATAGTCAGAGACTTCAACATGCCACTCTGCACAATGGACAGAGCCACAAGACAAAAAGTAAGCAACGACACTAAAGCTCTGAACAAGGACCAGGACAACATGGGTCTAACAGACATCTATAGAATACGGCACCCCCCAAAATCTGAGTATACATTTTTCTCAAACCCACATGGATCATTCTCTAGGATTGACCACATACTGGGTCACAGGATAAGTATCAACAGATACAGTAAGATCGAAATCATACCAACTATTTTCTCTGACCATGAAGGAATCAAACTAGAAATAAACCATATGAAGAAAGCAAGAAGCCCACCTACCACGTGGAGACTAAAACCCACACTACTTGAGGACCATTGGATAAATGAAGAGCTCAAAGAAGAAATTAAAAAAATACCTTGAGAAGAACGACAATGACAACACAAGTGTCCAAAACGTATGGGACACATTAAAAGCAGTTATAAGAGGAAAATATATAGCAACATAGTGTCACATAAAGAAACAAGAAATAATTCAAAAGAAACAACCTGATCTTCTACCTTAAACAACTGGAAAAAGAATAACAAAATAACCCAAAATCCAGTAGAAGACAGGAAATAATAAAAGTCAAATCAGAAATAAATGGAATGGACGTCAGGAAAATAGTCCAAAATATCAATGAAACCAAAAGTTGGTTTTTCAAAAAAAAATAAATAAATAAACAAGATAGACAGGCCACTAGCCAGGCTCACAAAGAAAAAACAAGAGAAAGCACAAATAAACAGAATCATAAACGAAAGAGAAGAAATCACAACAGACACAACAGAAAGCAAAAGAATAATCAGAGAATACTATGAGCAACTACATGCAAACAAGTTTGACAATTTAGCAGAAATGGATAAATTCCTACAACTTAAAACCACCCAAACTAGATAAAGAAGAAACAGAACAACTAAACAGGCTAATCACAAGCAAGGAAACTGAAGAAGTAATCAAAACCCTCCCCAAAAATAAAAGCCCAGGACCAGATGGATTTACAAATGAATTTTACCAAACTTTCAGAAAAGAACTAGTGCCTA